AGCAGCTATCCAATGTCATAACTCAACTTCAGCTACTTCTACAAATTCTGTATTCTTTGGCTCGATGACCAATAACGATTTGAGATTGGGGACAAACGATAGCACACGAATGACTATTCTGGGAGGAACGAACGCTGGAAGGGTCGGTATCGGTACAACTTCCCCAGCAGCGCAATTAGATGTATCTGGCTCCGTGAGCCAAACTATCGATAGCGGTGGTTTAGGCTATGGTCAATTGTCTAAAACCAGTACGACATTTACCGTTGGTCCAGTGAGCAGCGTCGCCGTTTCAATCAAGAGCTCTAACAGCATTCTTGTAAGTAGTGGGTCCTATTATACAACCAGTGATAGGCGATTAAAGACCAATATCCAAGATATCGATGATACCACTGCATTCATTCGAAACGTTTGCCCGAAACTCTTCGCGTATAAATCAAATTCAGAGAGACAAGAACTCGGCTATATAGCTCAGGATGTAGCCAAATATGCAGTCGAGTGTATCTCTTTCATTCAAAATGATTCTTTGCAGATAGAGCAGGCAGGAGACATGGCTGGGTATCAATTAACTCTCGATTACGATAAGATCGCTTGCTTACTCCATGAATGCCTCCAATCTGTCCTAAATCGTTTAGACGCTCTAGAGGATAAGGGGCATCAATGAGCCCGCGTAGCGGCTCCCTTCGGGCAAAAAAACTTTATTCTATCGCTTTGAAAAAGCTCAGATATTCTATTGCTTGAAAGCAAGAGACCTTGGTCTCGAGGTGAGAGCTCTTGGCCTTCGGTCAAATCGCTCCCTTGGAGCTCAGATATTCAGGAGGCTTACAGAGCAAACGTCTTTGGCTGCTTGCTCATTTTTTTCTTTGGTTTGTATGCCCACATACGACCTCCATCTGCTTCGGTTTGCGTAGCTACTGACTTAGTGGAGAATGGCTTTGAGTCGCTCGCCCAAACAGTTGGTCTATCTTGGTGAGGAGCTTCCTTGATAATGAGATCCTTCATCAGGTGCTTAAGCTCAGTGAGGTTCCTATCGGCATTGAGCTGATAGATACCTGCGCTCTTGGAAATCAGTCTTGGATCAAGAATCAACATCTTATAATAGTCTCGTGATAATTGATTTGAATTCAGAATCTGAAATCAATCGATTGCTATACATGTCGACACAGACCACCTTCAACTGCTTTAGAATCGTTGGATTATCATTCCCAAGCATCAGCTCGCCCTTGAGCTTATCGTACTCCATGCGTAGGGAATCAAGAGGATCCTCTAAATTATGATCGAAGCTGTATTGCAAATGTGTCATCTCAAGGATTTCCTTGAACAATTTCTTATCATCAATAGATAGCTTATCATACTTCTCCTGACTGATATCGTTTCTGAAGACAAGATCCTTGATCATGGCTTGTAGAGGATCACTGATCTCACGCATTGGGCCTACTTTTCGTCGATTTGGCTGAACGATCGTGAGAGTTCTCTTGTCGAGATCTGGTAGTCTGATAAACTTACTGCCAAGCTTCCTATATATGTAAGCGGAAGGAGTTGCTTTACCTTAAAAATCATTCAAGTTGTAAGTTTGATTTGTTTTTCGTAAAACACCTTCGAGAGGCTGGATGCCAGCCCCGCGAAGGCCTCGACCCTTGAGCTTACCGCCAACGGTTGGCTCTTTAATCGTTACCCCATGTGCCTTCAAAACGTACATATACAGCTTGAGAGCATTCATTATTGGCTCTTTGGTTGCATTATCAACGTCGTGATCAGAGTGGATAAACGATTCCATCTCTCTAAGGTAATCCATTAATAGATTCAATGTTTCTGGCCATTGGATACGCTTGAAAAAGCTGGTATGAGCTTTACCAGATAGGGGTGCATTTGACTTAGAGTCCAGTTTTCTAAGTCGTAGGTTGCCATCAATAACGGCGAAATAGTATTTTTTATTTGGATTCCCACTTACGATCGGAAGCAAATGAATTGGGAAGATGCTATCTGATTTACCCGCTTCGATATAGTAGTCGCTGATAATTGCCTTCACCTCAGTCTCTGGGATAGATAGGTCCTCCATGACACCTGGTCCTGACAGCTTCCCCTTATACCAAATACCTTGCGTGGATTTAAACCGGTCAGGATCACTATCTAAAACAGTGTCTGGTGATGGTTCAAATTCAAAAGTCAATCCTCGTGATTTAACCGTCTCGATAAACAATGACAGAGTTGATACCCAAGAGATATCAGATAGTCGAGAATGCTTATTCCTTTTCGTCTCTTGGCTTCTAACGTTGAGATCGCCCTTAGAGTCGATGATTAGTTCGTATTTGTCTAGAACTTCTCCATCCTTTAAAACAGGCCTTATGACGATGTTAGAGCCGATCAGTTTCTTCTTGTAAGCCTTCAGCATGAATAGGAGCTTTGATTTAGCTTGTTCCTCATCTATTGTAGTCGATGAAGAAGCATCGTGAAACCATGTTGGTTGCACATGAATTTTGTTAGCCGTTTTGGTTGAAGTAGTAACTCTATGCCTCTTACTACCAGTTATATCGTATAATTGATTCGGAGTATCGGTATCTTCCATGCGCATCAAGCTGACTTCATCAATACTGTTCGATTCTCCATCGGATCTAATATTCATCAGTTCAGTTGCGGTTAGTACCCAGTCAATGTACTTAGAATCTGACCTCTTATTTGTCTTGAGACTGAACAGGTTTCCATTTTTTCCAATATATCGCCTCATATCTTGGGTTTTATTGGTTTTGATTGGATTAAATTTAACAGCGATCCAGTTTGGATTAGACTGATAGCGTTTCTTGATCCATTTTTTTGCAATGAATTCTTCAGTTTTATCAGGGAGCGGGTGTAGCCCCTCCCGGGCGGTCTTCGACCAACCATCAGTTTTAACTTCAGGGACTTCCTGAGAGTTTGTTCTATCTTCTGTCGCGGTATCGCTAACTACAGGGATTGTAGCATCTACTTCAGAGTTTTTTTTTTAATCACCATCTCCAGCTTGATTAGAAGAATCTTGTGCTGAGCGGTCACTCAGGCGTGAGGCGAAGCCGGCAGTCTGCGACTGCGACTCCACGTGTGGTGCGGATTTCTTCTCGAGGGAGATGGTTTTATCGGCGTCTGTGGCCCATGAAGCGTCAGCATACATACGGCGAGCTTCATCTTTCTGTTTAACCCGAAGCTTGGTGCGTTCGAGTAGATCGAGCCGCTTCTGCTCGCGATCGGATAGACTCGTGAATGAAGGGAACATATCGATTAGTATATATATCAAACTCGATATTATTTACGAAATTTTGGCTTATATTCAATGTTGAGCGGTCGCTCAGACGTGTGGCGAAGCCGCCAGTCTGCGACTGCGACTTCACCTGTGGTGTTAGGTATATCTTCCCGCGACTCCCAAAGTTTCATAGTAAATTTATGAACGATCGAATTACGCCTTTGGAGCAATCTGACGTACGCGTTTTTACATTCATCTATAGGCAAACCAAATAGATCTTCGACCTGATCCTTGTATTTCGGATCAGAGCATACATAACGATATGGACGATTGGGGTCGAGTTGGTGAAGATGATACTTGATATAGTCGAGCCTGTAGATATCGTTGAGCATATGATTGATTTGATTGACCTTATCGCTGTAGAATCTCATTCGCTGATGCATCTTTTTGAGTTCTTTCTTATACATTTCAATATTGTAGTCCTTTGAGGGCTGAGTACAATAACCACGAGGTAGAGCATCTCTCGAGCAAGGTTTGTTGGACTTGGTCGTTGCTTGGCAAGCCATATTGAATATGGTGTCTATATATATAGCCTATATATTGGCTATGTGAGATAAATAATCTTCTTCAAGCTTGCTTCTCCTATTTTTATTGATCAAGCGTAGGTTATCTTGAGGCTCCCATGAGTCGGGCTCACTGCCTACTACCCATCGGATTAGGTATTTATATTTGCCATTATTCATTTTTTTATGGGCTAATATCTTCTCAGCTTCGAGAATATCGCCACGGTTGATAGTAGCATCTGTAGTATCTGCTTTCACAATCTTTAAATCGTTCGGGGCTTTGTAGAGCGTATGCCCATTTCTGGAACGAATCTCAACCCGATAACCATCAATGCCGATAACCGAGTAAATACCCTTGCTCCAGTGAGCAGCTTCCTTATCAAATGTTTTCTTTTTGAGACGATACATTCGACCCAACATCAAACGCGTTCTCGACCTTATCAGCTTCAGCTTGATTATGGTTCAGATCCGCCATCATTACTTTACCTCTTGCCTCGTTCGGGGTCATACCAATCGAGCGATGAAATGTGCTGTTGTAGTTATCGATAACATCAGCTATAATTTTCTGTGTGAGCCTCTTCGGAGACATTTTGGTTAGTCTCTGCTTTATAGTTCGATTGAATCTCTCGATTTTACCCATCGTCCGATGATCACCAGGCTCGTTGTTGAAGTGCTCAATCTTTTTGCTTTTGAAGAATTCTTGAGTCTGTGAGTTCATGAACTCGCTGCCATTATCGCTTGTAATGATATCCACCTTATGGAGGCGGACAAACGCTTTAAGCGCTGCTAATACAGTTGATGCAGTCTTGTTTGACAAGGCTTTTGCATAACCGAGTCGAGAGTTGATGTTGATAGCAGTCAATATTGGTTTCTTGTCCCAGAACGCGAGATCTATCTGCCATGAGTTGGGACTATGTGAAGCAATCTTGAACCCATCAAATCGCTTCTTCTGCTCCTGAAATCGTTGAATATCTGATTGGGTAGCATACCAACCCTTTACATATTTTAGTGTTATGTTAGGATCTAACTCGTGAGCCTTCTGATAAAGTGCTTGAGCTCCTATGAATCCTGTTTTTGGGTCATAATAGAGTTTTGTTAGCAGCTTAGACAGGGCTGACGCCCAGGCGAACTTGTTCGCGGGGCCAAGCCCCTTCGAACTTCGTTCGGACATGATATATTGTACCGTAGGTACTAAAGAGTATTCTACGAATACTTATATATTGTAGTACTTAAATTTGTAGAGGGATAGTCGAAATACCGTCTGAGAGAACTTGTCGCTTGTCGTAATAGTAGTTGAGAGCTGTTTTCGTTTGAGTATATGTGATGATTGACTTAGATTCCTTCGATAGTCTGAATCCTTTGTTCGTACCTTGGAGTGTGATTCGATCCCGTACAACAGTCTCGAAACCATTTGGATTGAGTACATCCTCATTACGACCTCGCCCCTGCTGCACACCCTTGGCTGAAACCTTGACCTTGTAGGACTCATCTGGCAGATAGCAAATATAGTTCTTGGACGATAGAGAGACCATGGCATCACCTGTCCATTCATCCTTGAACAAACCAGGGGTACGACGATCAAACTTAGCTACCTCAGAGTTATAGTCGCGCGGGAACCAGTCATACTTGTACGGCTTGAAATGGTCGCGTAGATCAGGCTTGATGCAATCCTTGAAAGGATTCTCACAGCTGAAAGCAATATACGCTGAATCGGTATCCATCTCCTGATACTGGAAATCGCTTCGATCGAAGTAGTAGTCAATGCAATCGTAATAAAACTGGAGCATGCGCAGCTTGGCGAGCTGGTAGATAGCAATCGATAGATGAATCTGGTTCTTGTTCTTAATTTGTCTCTTCTTCATGGTGATTTCACAAGCATCGTTTAGCTCCTCCAGACCATGGAACGTGAAATGTTCGATCTTTGCCTCAATTGCCTTCTGATCCGACTCATACTTGACCTCCTTATGCTTGCTCATATCCATGCCAGATCGACCGAATGCGCTGTTGCCTACAAGTTTCATCATCTCAGCAATCATAGATTTAGACTTATCAGCGTCAAGCTGTTGCTTGGAGTCGGAGACCCCCAGGGACTGCGCCCCTGAGGTCCCCTCATCACCCTCTCGTCGAGCATTTGACACAGCTTCCATGAAAGGAGCGAATGCCGTGTGAGAGCTGGCCTTGATAAAGCTGTAGGTCTTGGTGATCTCCATACCATGAGAAAGGTACCACTTGAGCAGCGGTGCATAGATAAGGATCTTTTCACCAAAGTAGCTACCAATCAACTTGCGAGCAGGCTTAGAACGATTTGCTTCGCGAGACTGGTTGTAATCAAACATATGCTTGCCAATGACACTCTCATCGGTACAGTCTATCAGAGCATTCTTGAAAATGGGAGTCATCTCACTAAAATACTCTTTCAGGTGCTCTGGGGTTCTAATATCACACTCGAGAAAGCCAAATATCTTGTCATTCTTGATGTCATCGATGATACCAGGGTAAGCCTCAATCGTAGTCAATCGACCACACGGCATCTCATTACCAAGGGCCCATAGATATAGGGCATTGGCATCATAACCGATAATCTTTTTACAGAGCTTACCACCACGAATCTTTGTCTCGTTCCGCTTGGCGTAGCGGTTGAAGATAATGGATGGTCCACCGGCGATGTTGGCCTTCATCTTACCGTATATCTCAGATTCCTCCTTGTCAATCGAATAGACCAATCTGTTCGAATTGAACTCGAGCAGTTTCTTGTATCGAAAATCCCCGAGAGACATATCCTTACGAGCGGTATTACACGAAATGCAGCTGATCAAGATGTTCCCATCGAGGTGGCCAAGCTTGTTGTTGATTCTATCAGCAGAGGCAGTTTCGCAAGTCAGCTGACTGTAGCACAAAGCACACATGTACTTCTGATGCTTTAGCAATCTATTCAAGTGATCAAGTGTCATACCAAATTCTCGCTTTGCCTTATCATCCTGATTCTTGTAGCCAACCATACGCTTGGCTGGGAATTTGAACGCTTTAGCAGGCTTCTTGCTGGGGTATTGTAGATTTTTGAAGCAAGTCTGGTACATTTCTCCGATAGACCAGGTAGAGACACACCATCGACAAACATATCCAGATCAAAACGTTTAAACAACTCACGCTGAGCTTGGATAGCCTTGATGAATGGAACTACATCGAGATTGTTGTACCAGATGAGTAGATCCTTGATTGACTTCATTTCAAAGTGCCCCCAGACAAACTTCACACGCTTGTACTCATCATTGGAGATGCTTGTACCACGAAGCTTGCTGTCAAAAGCTGATTTCGGTGGGACTTGAGTTTCATTTAGGACGTTGAAACTGGTAATGTACTCGTACGGGAAAATACCCTTATCAAGCCCACAAACACAGCTAATATTGTCCTCACACTTGCATCCACCGAGATAGGTCGTCAAATACTTGTCATAGCTGGTGCCAGCCGGAACATAGTTGCTGATATCAAGTATCTTCATGTTCCAAGTTGCTATGCACACGTAAGATGGATTCTTGATGACAGATTTGATGTTATTGGTACCAATCACAGCGAACAAGTCGCTCTTAATCAAGTTGATATCGTATCGACCAGAATTGAAGCCAAATACTGGTACCTGATCAAGCTGCTGCTTGATTTTACCATAATCTGATCTCTGCTTAGCGAATCCAATTTTGTTATGGAAATCGAAGAAACTGGAATATTTTCCTTCTCCAATCCAACTCTCCACGTCAGACATCTTGTATGTCTTACCAAGAGGGGTGTCGGGGATCTCCATACCCGTCAGACCGTGACTGTTAATGATCTTTCGTAACAGAGACTCATACTTGGAGACATTGTACTGTCGAATCTTTAAGGATACATCGCCAATATATTTGAACATATCAGTAAGCAATGCTTTTGGATCATCATTTACAAAGCAACGTACCTCATCAGTTAAACTATCGGCTATTGATACTGACACAGGAATATGCTCGTTAGTAAAGACAGTATTCTCCCCGTGTTGAGTAGCGGTAGGCTTAAGAATGGCCTCAAAGTCATACACCATGAAATGATCGATATAGTGATCAGCATCCTTGATGGAGTATTTTGTTTGCAGTGATCGTATCGTGTTCTGAGCAGGTCGGTAGATCGTTGGCTGGGCTGGGAAGCTTTCAATATTTACTCGTTCGCATTGGTTCTTAGAGTGATCCTTGAGCTTCGTGGAGCTGACAAAGACCATTTCACACTTCTTGCATTGTTACTTGCTTTGGAGCATATCAACATTCTTGATATATAGAGCATGACTCTCATGCGATAGAATATTCATAGTTTCATACTCATTGTCAGAGCGACGAATGCATTCAACCTTCCCAGACTCAATATCCATAGTATAGACATTGATACTGAGTTTGAAGCATTCCTCAACATCATCGAGCTGGAGTAGGTCAATGGGCTTGAAGCTTCGAAACAGGTTCAACGAATATTTAACCCCCTTGAAAGAGCAGTAGCGTTTGAATGCCTCCTTTACCTGAGCCTGAATTCTTCGAGGATTCTTCTTAGGGTCCTGAATTGAATGCCAGGCAATACAATGGAAGACACATTTGTTATTAGTCTTGGGGAAATTGATAACGTGATGGTTTTCACGAATAATCTTAGGGATGACCGCATCACTATCCCCAAGAGCATGGTTGCGATGATAGATGTAAATTCTAAAGCCAGTGATAGACTTGAGCTTGTATCCTGAGCTTGGATAGTTGAGCTTGTTTGCCAACTCCATTGAACGGATCTCAGAGATTACTTTCTTACGGATGTCAGCCTTGCTATTGCTATCAATAGGGGTGTTAAATACACTCGTATTGGATACATTCGGATGCCAATACTGTGTCAAATCACCGGTTAAGCTCACAAGGTCGTAGCCGAGAGCGATATTAACCTTGAAGGCATTCTTTTGACTGGTAAGTACGTTCTCAAGCTTGTCGTAGAACTCAGCTGGTTGGATACCTTCATATAGATGAGATTCTATCTGCTTACCGTCATAAAAGCGATACTTAGGATCAGCCTTATACTCAGGCGACATATGCTTTTTAAGATCTTCAATGGAAACTTTGTACTGTTTCGCAATCAAATTCTGATTGCTGGGGCGCGATAGATTGCTAATATATGTCATTCTACCGGTTTTACCCCGGATCTTGACTCGATAGCTACTCCCCCATTTGATTGGGTGAATATTTAATCGCTTTAGTCCTTCTAACTCGTATGCAAACATATTTGCTATATATATCCGACTATATAATATCAGGATAGATCGACTTTATAATTTATGGATCTTATGTCAGAATAGATCGCCTTTATATCTACCCTGATACAAAATTCAAAAATAATAATAAATTAATTAGCTAAGTTCGGTTTCACTGTTAGGTTCGCACTGCTTCTTCGCTGCATAGGATTTACGCTTTTGGGCACGAATATGCTCACGATTCCTCTCGTCGTACTCCTTCTGCTTAGCGATACGAGTTTCTCTCGTCTTCAAGTAGTATCGCTTTTGAGCTGCCTTAATGCGCTCTTTGTTAGCTTGGTATTGTTCAGGAGAGTAAGTCATCTTTGTATATTATTAACTTTATATTTATCAGAATAAAAAAATTATTAATGCAGCATGCCAAAGCAAGAATTAGCTGAAATAACTCAACGTGGGAATAGATCGAGTGACCTGTCTAGCCACAGCACGCGCCATGTCCAAGTCGGGGCCTAAACAACTGGCGATGTCATAGTATCGTTCGATGCTCTCACGAATCCCGCCACTTTCACTGGCCTCGCTGATGGACGGCAACACCCGGGATAACTTCTGGCGCTTCACAGGGTCTTGAAGCACTGGGGTCATGATATCCGTAGGCTTCAGTAGCTGCCTGATCAACTCGAAAGCTTCACCTGGATTCGTAATGTTCACTTTGTTGACGCAAGTGGTATTGTTTTCCTTCCCGGCGACCCAGAAGAATCGTCAATCGCCGTTGAAGTCAGTAAGCAGTGCAACCACTGGGTCGTCGGCAAGCAGAGCCAGAGCAATTAGCTCTGACATCGCCTGGAAGACAGATTGTCTTTCAACCTTTTTCTTCACTTCAATCAGCATCTTCACTTCAGGCAAGTCCAGCGCATAATCCGCGCTCTCCATGACGATATCACTGAGTATGAGAAGATCGGTGCGACCCCGGAGCTCAATGTTGGAGTCGTTGACAACAACTCGGAGAATATCTGTCGTATTTTCCACACCGAACACGCAAAGCTTCTCCTCCTGGAGAAGCTCGCCAATGTTGCTGTCAACATACTCGCGATATTCATCTTTCTGCTTCTCCTCGCTGAGTTTCATGTCCCATGTGAACCCCTTGACTTCACCCCACTTAGCAGCAGCTTTACGCACAGGTTGCACCTTAATGTTGAAGGCGTCCAGAAGTTCCTTGTACTCGGTCGAACCCACCTTCGAGTGGACATATGTCTTGCGCTTGGTCAGCACAGTTTGCGCATGAATTTCGTGCACCTCTTGGACCACTTGATCCGTCCTGGAAGTCTCGCTCGCTGAACCAACTGCACCAACCGGAACCACCACCAGCACGTGAATCGTTCCGTCGGGGATTGTGCTGGGAAATTTTGCGCAGATCTTGTCCGTCGGATCGTCCAATTCCTCCTTCATGTAGAGACTCTCAACTTCATCGGAGATCTCCCCCTTCCGCATCCGGAGCAGATCCTTCGACTTCAGCCACGCGCCGTCCTTCTTCGCCAGGAAGAGCTGCAGGTCCTTGGCGTCGCCCGTGATCGTCGCCGGGTTCTTCGCCTTAATCGCGTCCTTCAAGTCTCCAACCGACTGGCCCCCATCGATGTCCACAGGGAACGCGCTTCCCGCCGCACCAACGATCGCACAGAACAGCTTCACCATCTTATCTCGAGGCGGCCGATTCTGGAATGAGGAAAGGGAGGGAGGGAATTCGCTACCTAGACCCACACGGGCTTTCAGCCAATCACAATAATGGTGTCGTAGAAATGGCGGTGAGGGTGAACTATCCATTGCGGTAAGAAAACCTGGGCATGATTTTCTTTCGAATGAACTGGGGTGCGGGTCTCTAAGCGGAGGCAAACGCCCCGAACAATTTTGCGTTTTTTACGGCTAGGACACACTGCGCCTCAGCAGATATCTGCTGTCTGCACTTGTTATTGTTATTACCATTATCACCACTATTTTGGTGAGTACTATGCCTGTAACGCTTCATATGACTGCACTAGATATTTTAATTCTCATACTAGAGATGCTATAAGAGCATATCCGGCGGTTGGTCTCAAACACGGTTATAATTGATGTTGACAACATCATCATGTTGCTATTGGTATTGATTGCAACTGCCACTGTCGCCGCCACTGCCAGCTACTGCGGCTGCTACTGTCACTGCTATTGGACACTGCCACTGTCACTACCGCTGCTACTGCTACTGCTACCCCATTACTACTTCTATTGCTATACTACTGAAATTCCACTATTGTTAAAGAAATTGCTTTTGATATTGCTAACTGTGGCGGGCGTTACTACTGGTCACTGTTACTAAGTACTGTTTATCCCTACTGCAACTACAGCAACTAAAACTACTATTTCACTATTGTTAATGATATCATAGTAATGCTGTCATTGAAGTTGCTAGTTCATATCTCCTGCTATCGCTACTGCGACTGTGTATTATCTGCTGCCACTGCTGGCACTGCCGTTACCGCTGTTATTTGCGCTACAACTACGATATCAGCTATGATAATGATATTTCAATGATATTTCCCCTGCTTTCTTCTTCACGCCGGAGAAAGACTGCCAAAATCCACTTCATGTTTCTATTATATATTGCTGCATAATATCGCTGGCCATCTTATGGCTGGCGCAAGCTAAATTTACAAGTAGATGCCGTCTGAACATCGCCGTCCCCACAAGCATTACCGATGATCTTAACTTCTTATCGGTCGTCTAGGCTTTGTATATCACTCTCTTTTTTCTAAATAGTATATGTGACTTGCATTGCTGCGTAAGTAATATCAATACGAAGTATTAATATTTCTTATTCAGTAAAATGCTATTGGAATTGTTCGCCTGCGTCAAGATCACTGCCCGCTACCACTGCAACTGCCCTACTGTCAATGCCACCGCTACTGCAACCGCTATTAAATAATAGCTTTGCTACTGATGTTGTTATCGCTATTTCTGTTACGATCTTTTTTTGCTCGCCCCACGATCAGGAAGAAAAACTGTCAAGGTCTACTCCATGGTGCGTGAGTTGTTGCAACCCAGTATAATGTCATCCAACGAGACTTCTTCGCGAGTTTGGCCTGTAACTGTACGACTTATCGAGCACGACTTATCTATAAATTGTACTCAGGTATGAATTGCTGTAAGTCGTGGATGGTTAATCAGCACTAAGTAGTGCGGAAACACCATCTCCTGCATGATCTAGCACATCCAGTACGGATTAGCATCCTTTTGGCACCCCTAGAAAGTGTCATTTCGGAGCTAAACCAGCTTGAAACACGACTTGAGCAACTTGCATTCAAAGCCTCTATGATTTACCACTAAATACGAACACTAACTAGTGCACTAAATACTGGATGCAAAGCACGATAATACAAGGTGATTCATTATTACTCCGGATTTGTTACCGTAGCATCACTATTTCAATTGCTGTTGCTGAATGGTAGGCGCGGAGAAAACAACCTACTGCATGTGGGCGATAACTTTCCGCTGCGGACCAACACCAGCTTTACCGATACAACTGCATGTTGCTAGACCTGTCGGCGCTCAAACTGAGCCCGATGCACTGGTACATGAGCGATGAGAGTCGGTAACTTTCTCCAGCTTGTTCAGGAGTCATCGTGGTTTCGGTCGGAAAGCTGACAGCATGCTTGAGGCCGTGCCTTTTGAGCTGGCAATTAGGGCAGAATAACCCCAACATGACATGCGCCACGCCAGCGAACATCAGCGGACCACCAGGTCTCCATCGCGTCCATGATAAACGTGGACATCTCGACTCGCCACGTTCTGCTCGCACTGAATCTACCCGTCCGCTGGTTGCTTGGCAGGTTGTGGACGTCGTCCCCGAACGCGCTGGCGGCTAAAATGTCACACAAGCCGATGCGAAGACCCGAAGCTTGATGAGCGAAGTGGCGAGCGCTCGAAGAACATTTGAGAGGAAGTTGGAAAGTTGAAAAGTGATTGATTGATCCGTTAGTTTAGCGTCGGCGCGCCGCCGCCGCGCAACCAGTAGTTCTTGGCGACCAGGACACGCAAACAAGTATCCAGGTCCCATCCTAAAGTCTATCAATCTCAAATCCTAGATCAATCCTTTTCTACCAATGAAAAAATACTAATCCTATTCGTAGCTTGGCCAAAATTTGTGACTTGCGTCCCATAATCAAAAGTCCGGCTGGAAAACTTGATTGTTGCACATCTCGAGGATTTACAGCCAATGAGGTCGCGCGAATGTCCATGTTTACGCGTCTCATAATCAAGTTTACTTTTGACACCAGCCAATAGGATAGCATATAATGAATATAAACCATGCATCCCCGTATTACGCTGTCCAGCGCAAACTGAAGTGCTGTGCAGCAGCACTTGACGTGGGAGTCCTCTGCCATCTCATTGGCAGACGGACGTCCACGTCACATGACCTCCCTTCCAAGAAGGCCCCACTACTTTGAAGCTGCACTTTACTTCTTCTTGGAGTCCCAGTACTTGTCAATGAGCCCTGGAATCTGATTCAGGTTCTCTACGGGTTCCCATGTAGCGTCTTCTCGGGGTTCACCAAGCCACCAAATTTGATATTGGAGCGTCTTCTTCCTGCGACGGTGGCCGATGACTTCACGTACAAGTTGTCCCTCTGAGCCATCATTCAAGATCACCTTGTTAACATTTTGGCTGCGTGATTTGTCGCTGCGATACGGCTTGAGCAACGAAGTGTGGAAAACGGGATGCAACTTGAGCTCCTTCGACAACTTCAGCTCGTAGGAGTCGTGATGAACTTGCTTCACGACCGGGTAAGGACCAATAAACCTTGGCGCAAGTTTCTTCGCCTGTGCAAACCCCTTGTGACGAATGTCCAAGTTCCGTCCATCCAAAAGTACCATATTCCCGGGTTTGAAGTCTTGAGCAAGTCTGTTCTTGTCATGATACGACTTCATTCGAGTTTGCGCCTCACTCATCGCGTCTTGTGCCATTTTCAAAATTGCGTCTTGCTTGAGCAGGAAATCTTGTGCTGACTTCTGCAACTGCTCAAACTCTTGGTCCCCAGCCACCTCATCTGGCATATAGGGCACATAACCCAGATCAGCCTCAAACGGTGACATACCGATCGAGGAATGGACACGTCTGTTGTACGCGAATTCGGCGAGATGTAGGTATTCATCCCAATCATTCTGGAATGGGTTCACGACACCTCGTAGATAGTCTTCAATAAACCGATTAGTACGCTCGGTCTGACCATCCGTTTGCGGGCGGAAGGCGGACGACAAGTTATGAGTCGTCTCTAATGTCTTAATCACCTCCTGCCAGAACTTTGATGTCACGGTCTGAGACGATCGACTTCGGCACTCCATGGTCTTTCACATAATTGGCCATGAATAGCGCAGCAGTCTCTTCTGCTGTCGCCGCCGTGTTCGTGGCAATGAACTTAGCACGTTTCGTCAACCGGTCCACAATAACCATAATGGCGTCTTTTCCGGCTGCCGTCTTCGGTAGTGCAACCATGAAGTCCATCGTCACATCAATCCATCTGCCTCCTGGAATCTCCAACGGTTGAAGTAGTCCCGGCGGCTTCGTTTGGCGTGCCTTGTTTCGCTGACAAAGCTCGCACGTGTTCACATAACGCTGAATGTACTTCGACATCTTGGGCCAGTAATATTTCTTCTGGATGCCTAAGTATGTCTTGAAGTATCCGGGGTGACCTGCCGTGACCACATCGTGGTTTTCACAAATAACACGGTTCTTCAGATCTTCATTGTCCGGAATTACCAGTCGTGCATTTTCATCATCTCTCGTTTGGTAATACAGCAGTCCATTCTTCACAGAGTAGCGTGGTACCTCTTTACCACTAGCGATACTCTGCAACAGCTCCTGAACTCTTCGATCTGTAGGGTACAGTTGTTTGGCCGAGTGCGTCACAGTTGCACTGGTCGTTTGGACGCTAGCTACAATTTCACGGTTTCGAGCCGCTTCAATGAGCTCAATGAGACTAACCTGAGCGGCTTTGTGCTCAAAGAGTGGGTTTCGAGACACTGCATTGGTTACTGTCGCCTGGAATCCATTTGAACTGTGGTTGGTCGGCTAGTTCATTAAACCAGCGAGCCACACGACGGTTTGTTGTCTTCTGCGTCAATATAGTCTCAATACTCTTGTGGTCTGTCTCCACCGTAAATGGCCGATCGAGCAGGTAGACTCTCCACACCCGAAGCGCATGCATAATAGCCGGCAATTCCTGTTCGCGCGCTGGGTAGTTTAGCTCCGCTGGTTTCATTTCACGACCAGTGAATGCGATCGGATGCTCGAGCCCTCCCTCGTTTTGAAACAAGACTCCCCCTATGGCAAAGTTCGAGGCATCCATACGAATACCGAACGGTTTTTCGAAATCAGGAAGTTGCAACACGGGAGGGGTGGAGAGACGGCGCTTGAGTTCATGAAAACATTCCAACTGGTGCTCAGACAAATGCAGCGTTTCCTTTGGGCGCAAACCCTTAGTACTTCCATGCAATGGTCCTGCGAATTGCGCGAAGTCGCCGCAAAAGCGCGAGACATAGACCGTAGTACCCAAGAAGCTTTCCATTTGCTTCTTTGTCCGTGGAATCGGCCACTCGCGAATCACACGCACTTTGTCAGGGTCCATTCGAACACCATTGCGGCCCACAAAATCACCAAGA